GCTAACACTTACCTCACATGGCAAGGGTAGTACTTCTGATGAAGTGCGTAGTCTTGCGCAAAATGAGATGCAAGATTATTGGGAAAGAAATATCAAACTAAGGCGCCCTATTTCGCCTCATGCTACTATTTACAAGCCTCCGTTGTGCATGTGCACCTCTTTCATGCATCGATCGACCGGTGTTGTTATGTGTCTGGGTGAGCCCCTAGATATTGAAATGCTTGTACAGTTTAACAATATTATAGTTATCCGACTTTCTTTTGAAATTTAGCCTGGATGGCCCTCGGTTGTGGTGGTTTCTGGTACACTGGTAACTTTGATGCTATGCTTGAATATATAAACAGTTACCAGCTCGCTCCATATTATTTGTTTGGGGCTAAGTTTCTTCTTGCATATCCATTGATTTATCACTACACCAATGGCATGAGACACTTGGTGGGTTTTTAGATTATTATATGTTTAAATTCAATAATTATCGATCGGTAATTATTTAGTTGTCTTGTTTTGTAGGCTTGGGATTACTCCATCGGATTTGATATGAAAACTGTAAACTTTACCGCTTCGACTAATCTCATTTTGTCTTTCCTCCTTACCCTTGCATTGGCTTCGATCAAACTCTAGGTGCTTTTTCGGCATATTGGTCGCTGTAATTAGTCGATTTTCTACCTCAATTTACCAAAAATTTAACTAGCTATATCCCCGTGTCAGGCTGTTTTTGTTGTCTAACAATAAAATACTAATTTTGTTGAATCGGTTGTTGTTTTGCATCAGTATAATTTATTTGCTTTTCATCATTCTTGCCCTGTTTTTTTCAATAATATTGGATATTTGTTCCACTTTCAACAGTTTATTATCAAATTTGTAGATTGCTTTTGGGGTGCGTTTTCACCACTTAGCAATAATTCTTCTGCTCTTGCAAATTTTTACTTTTCAAATGGACTTTGCTCGGTTTGAAATCATTTGCAATAGTTAACTGAATAAAGTGCTACCTATTTGTTTCCTGAAAGTACTTATGATCGCCTAACTTCTGGCTTAGCCTAGTTTGTTGAGGCACTGGTTTTCAATGATCTGAACACCTGCGACTTACATTTGAGTCGCAGTTAATTGGTTCGTGTCCCGTTGTAATATTAAGTGCTAATCTGCATCATGAGGGATTATATCATTTCGTTTTATCAAAATGATTTTCAAATTGAGAATTATTGAAATCAAATTGTTTTAAGAACAGTTCTTGCATTTTCAACGTATCATGGAAACAATACGTATGGCGTCACTATAGTGTATTACAGCTAACACAAAGTTTGCCCACTCTCATGAGTAGCAAGGACATATCATTCAGAATTTTCTAACGCGTTTAAGATTCCCTAGACCAGCCTTGGTAGCAATGTGATCTCCGCAGTCAACTAGGTAATGAAGACGGTCCTTCTATGAAATATTAGCAAAATTGTGTCCTTCGTTTGTGTCATTATTATAATTAGTATACGGGAGAAACCCGGGGCGAGATCAAGGAAGATACTTGATCAACACTCCAGGTATTCATAGGGAAATTCGTAATTTTAGTCATTTTTCACTAGTAGCACTTGACTTTGGTAACAAGAAAGTGTGGGACACGTCATCGCATGACTGCACGCCAGGATTGGGAGGTGCGACCGTATAAACAGTGACCAATCATTAACCTCTGTTTGTTTTACATAATCCCCCATCCTGATCATGATTAAGCTCCCTGCGTGTACACTTTATCCGCAATATACGTCCCGAATAAACGTGCTCCGTGCTACGTCTGTTTCCTTTCATAGCTGGGCTATAGCTTAGCTGGTTTCGGTCTGTTTCCTTTATAGCTGGGCTATAGCTTAGCTGGTTCGTAATATGCTCACTGAATAGACGTGCTCCGTGCTACACGTCTGATACCCGTACTGAAAAAACGTGCTCCGTGCTACACGTCTGAATCCGTACTGAATAAGCGTGCTCCGTGCTACACGTCTGTTTTCCCGTATCGAATAAACGTATTCCTTGCTACACGTCTGTTTTCCGCTACTGAATAAATGTTCCGTGCTACACGTCTGTATCCTCTGTAGAATAAACGTGCTCCGTGCTAAACATCTGTTTCCTTTATATGTGGGCTATAGCTTAGCTTGTTCTGGGAGTCTAGCTAGATGTTGGAGAATTCTCCGTGCTACTCGTCTGTTTCCTTTATAGCTGGGCTATGGTTTAGCTGGTTCTGGGAGTCTAGCTAGATGTAGGAGAATCTCCCTGGTTCTGGGAGTCTAGCTAGACGTTGGAGAATCTGCCGTTCTGGGAGTCTAGCTAGATGTAGGAGAATCTGCCACAGATATAAACGCGCTCCGTGCTACACGTCTGTTTTCTTTATAGCTGAGCTATAGCTTAGCTGTTCTCTAGCTAGAGGTTGGAGAATCTGCCATAGAGATTTCTGATTCCTAGCTAGATGTTGGAGAATCTGCCATAGAAATTTCTGAGCCGGTAGCTAGATGTTTGAGAATCTGCCATGGAGATTTCTGAGTCGGTCTAGATGTAGGAGAATCTGCCAAAGAGATTTCTGAGTCAGGAGAATCTGCCATAGAGATTTCTGAGTCAGTCAGGCTTTACTTAGGTAGCAATCCACTGCAAAGGCATCGTGCAGATGCTTTTCCGAGAAACTCGAATTCAACCATTCGTGGCGCTACTGAATAAACCAGAACAGTTGTCAACTCACCCCACTGGCTACCCATCGATGGGTATTGATCCCGAGACATCGACCTCGGCAGACATGGATCCCAATCATGCCACAAGCGACACTCACGATAAAGAAATCTGAGTTTTACACTCATGTTTTTGAAAAAGAAATGGGTAGATATTATTGCATTGTTAACAATAAAGTTTGCCGATTTTTAGGATATTGTTTTAAGTAGCTATTAGATTCGTAGCGGTTCTTTGATAGTAAGTTCGCTCTGTCCTAAGAAGCTATTGCTATTTATGAGCTTTTACGAACTTGACTATAGAGGTGAGAGAAAAGGGTAAAAGGAAAACAAAAAAGCTCAAAAGTGTGCTATTAAGAAACCGAAACCCAAATAAGCAAGCTCTTTACAATGCGTAGAAAGGTGAACGTATTAGCACTGGACGAGAATTTCGGAATATTTCGAGTTCGAATAGCTAGCCAGTTTACTATTTGGTTCGACAAGGAAAAATATACCTGCTTATAATAATGTCTCTTTCATTACACAGCGTTATTCGCATAGTATGAAAACTCTTATATCGTAAATCTGTGTCTATTTGCGAAAATCCATGCCTACTATATTCTCCTCTACTTATTTTAGCATTGTGTGGGTATTTAGAAATTAATAGAATCCAAGATTATCACGCCGAAATTGCAACAAAATCCCTTGAAAATAAGAGATTCAAATTTTGCAATAATAAGTAATGTTAAGTTAGTATTTTCCAATTCAAATGTTATTTATCTTCCTTTTTGATTTATTTTCAGTTAGAAAAAAATGAATGTCAGTTTAACATAGGGTCGCCTTCTAAAAATCCAGTTTTGTTTCGATAAATATCTCTCTCTTTGAGATAGAATCGAGTACAACCAACTTGAAGGGGTCACCTTAAGCAGACAATAACTAACACGAATAAATGAGCCTATGCAATGTAAAAATGGTAACTTTCAGTAAAACTACATTTATAATGCTTATATCGACCAGATAAGTCTAGGAGCTGGGAACAAAACTTTTATATAAGAAGAATTATGAAAGTAAGGAAAAACCTAAGTTCAAATTTTTTTCGCATTTTATTTCGGATATTTATTTCAGCATCAGTGGATATTACAACTCTCAGATGGTTTGCACTTGATACTAAGTACTTTAAAGGTGCGGTTGTTCTGGAAGTACAGTTACGTTAATTATGTCAGTTTGATACGAATAAATGAGTCAAACTTCGCGAGCAAATTAAGACGTTAAATAATTCTTAGAAAATCAATTGTGGAATTGTAACAAATTGGAATATTTCACGTTCACCACTGTTCGACCAGTAAAATATCAAAGGATTTTATAAAATAGTTCCTTGATTTCTAGCCTTTGTGCATTGAGTTATGAACCCCTTTTCCAAAGTTTCTATGATCAAACTAACTATGGTTACTGAGTAATTCTCTTGATTTTGCTGCAGTTACATTACACGCTTCTTGTTATCATTTTACTCAATATGAATTGGTGAAATAGGTTTTTTAAGTTTATATCTTATGCCTAATTCAAACTTTAAGCTAGCAAATGCCACTTCATGCTAATAATTGGCGCAAGGTGAAATTCTATCAAGATTGAAACTCGGCCTTGCGTAAGTCTGAATAGTTCTCTTCAACACTGTGAGTGCTAAAATAATGCATTAAGTGAGGCATGCTTAGGTTAGTCTCGTGCAAGCCTCAGAGAGGAATTGGTTACCTGACAATAATTCTTAAGGTTTCCAAAAAGAGATTAATCAAATTATTTAACTTTATTCATCATTTAGCGGAAAATAAATGCAGCACAGAGCACCTTGAGACATCTAAGACCTCATATATGACATGATGGAAGTCAAAACAGAGTTAGCAGAGACTGACTTAACTTTCAGCTATTCATAAATTATTTGAATTTTAAGGAGAAATAATAGCCTCATTATATAGGACGGGTTTAACTACTTTGAAATAGACTATATAAGATATTCGAGTGAATTACCTGTTGAATAACAAAATTAAATCAAGTTAAA